GATTTCTGAAGATCATGTGACACTATATTGACGGCATCTGCTCATTTGTCACGTTTAGTTTCTCCATCATACAAATATATTCAGTAAACACCAATAAGTTTCTCAAGTGACAAGCTCTTCAAAATAATCTCTTTAACAGTTTCAGCACGAAAGAGAAGGGCTTGGTGGTCCCTCCTGAAAGAACACCCGTATGATAAAAAGTATTCGTTAACAGGAGTTATTCTCAATCCATTTAGCCCAGAAATCAACAAATACAGCTTTCTGAATGTCATTTTCTTCATCGTAAATATACTTTTTAAAACATCAATCCAATCCTGTGTTTGAGTTGGGTTTAAAAAAATGTATTTTTTGAACATAATGTAAAATATATTGGCTATATTTTATTAAGAAATTATACTAATGCTGTAACATTTTAGTGAAAATTAAAAATGAACAAATTTCTTGATATTTGGTCCACCTTTGCTTGTTCTATTTGCATTTTTATTATTAAATTGGTGCATTCTTAATTATCTATATTGCAATCTTCAAAATTCTGAAATATCTTTTATTAGTTGTACTTTATTTGCATTTATTGATTTTTAAAAAAATTCAACATTTTTATTAAGAATATTGTTTTCCATACTGAATGCGCACTTTTTCTCAGACTTTTGAGAATATAGTATATTTGTATTACTAGCATCCAGAGCTGCACCACACGGGAATAACAGCGTGTTTCTTCTGAAGGATCTGAGAAAAGCACCGCTGGTGGGATTCTTTGACTCGTGTTGAAAAAGCCGCTGTAAACCGTGATGTTTTCCTCTAATAGTCTCTACTCTGCTCTTCTCTTGAAAATCTCTGCAGACCAGTACAAACACCAGCTGAATGTGGATGAGCGGTAGCGGCCTACAGGTTTCCGTGCCACAGCTTGGTCTTCAAGCAGGATTCGCCTACTACGAGCACTTTTACATAAATGTAATCATACAAACAGGCTACAAATTAGCCACCAATTCACCAAAATGTTAAATAGTTACAAATTGCTGTGAGATTGTGATGTCATGTGTTCTAGAACACAGCGAACTATCGTTCAGTACTCGAGGATTTTTTGGAAAAACTCTTAAGAACTGTGATTTTCTGTCGTGATTTGGACATATGTATTAGTTTTTTTAATGTATGCATTAAAGGGTTATAAAAAAAAAAAGAATTGCTCAACGTCAGGCCATCCAAGACACAGATGAGTTTCTTCCTCGGAACAGCTCTGGAGAAATGTAGCATTGCATCACTTGCTCACCAATGGACCCTCTGCAGTGAATGGGTGCCGTCAGAAGATCGAAATGTGTAATTACAAGAAATAAAGAATTGTGCGACAAGGGGCCTTCATGAACGGGATTCAGTCAGTTGTTTACTTTAGAATGCGCCCCTTTCAACAAAAACACCGGAATTCACCCTTTGTGAAAATCACAGACTTGATTTTTGTTTTGTAAGGAAGTTGCAAGACTAGCTCTGGTCTGCTTGAATTGGGAAATACTGAAATTTCATGATCCACCCGAGGACACCAGATTTTTATTTCCTGGTCGCCAAGAGATGAAAAAGCCACAGTGGAGGAGAAAGCAAACGCACATCTCGACCGGTATATTCTTAAATGACCCATTAAACTCACACATGCTCAAACACTCAAACACAAAAAAAGCAAAACGATTAATGGGTATAAATGAAAGTGTGTATTGCAAATCAGTGCTTCTGTAACACAAGCTCTAACATAAACCAACTGACTGCAGGGGAGAAATGTTTCCTAGCTCATAAATATAATGACGACAGAATGGGATTGTAGTCTTGAGTCCAGACAGGACCACTTCATTCCCCTCTCTGAACAAGCCGCTTCTTGATGGTGGAGCAGATTTAGCCTTTGAGAGAAGACATGCCCAGATTCGGCTACATAAGGAGCTTAAAATATCATCTTGTTGTGATGTTGGGAGCCAGAATCGACGTAATACAGCCTCAAATTAGAAATCTGATCGCATATCTGCTGCCACTGCCAGACAAAACCAACGACAGCTGTGGTTAAACGTGATAAAACGAGCAGACTGGACAGAAACGATCGACAAAAATGCTCACGTTTGCAGTGCGCACTTCTTATCAGAAAAGGTTCAATAAAGTATTGTCTTTAGTTATGTGCGCGTCTACAGATTTCTTGCCATATGTCTATGTTTCTTGCATCTCACGACTATGTCGTGTATGAAATAATGTCTGTGCATGTGTGTAAAACAAACTGTGTAGTTCTGATGTCAACTTTTTAAGCAGGCTGTGTGCATTTTACTGTGGACTGACTGTTTTGAAACGTATATGGTATTTACATAGCCCCTAGACCTCAGTAATCGTGAAAAAAGCCAGGAAATTTCAGTTTTGACAATATGAGACCTTTAAAACAACAGTTACAATATTATCAGATGATAGTAGTTTTTCATCTAAATTAGACTGTATAATGTCGAAATTTGAAGCAAAAACAGAATGGTCTGATTTTAGTTTTGTGAAACTATACTACATAAAATATCTGCAGAAGCACTGAATGAGACGCAGATTCACTCTCTGCCAGCAGGAGGCGCTCATGGAGCAGCAGCGATACAGTGTTTCCTGGGTTTCCGCTGTAAACAAAGCAGAGCTGCGCTTATGAACGCTACTGTAATATGCATTGTTCAGAGGCAAGATGAAAATAAAATACCACGTAAACCTTTCTAAAGATAGTCAGTTCTCCTCAGAGACATTCATATAAACTCCTACTCCAATTGTATCGCGATTTGTTTGGCATCTCAACCGATTTGAATCGTCACATATTTGAATCGATTTTCGACTGGCTCGCGGTTAATCGTTACATCCCTAGTGATCATCAGTGACGTGTTGGTCGGTCATGTGATCTGCTGGAACAGTGGAGTTTGACTCACCAGGAGTGAAGCAGCTGCTTTTTCACACTGTAGTTATCCCACACACCGGCCTCTCCTGCGATCATAGGTTCACCTGCACACAGAACACACCACACTGATGCGTTACAGCCGGAGGAACACAGACCATCTCTTCCAACACATGCACACAGGAGTACGAGCATGTCAAACGGGTTCACAGGTGCAAGACATTCACAAAAATCTGTGTAAATATATATATATATATGTTTTAACACATGTAGGTAAATCTTACTGCTACTGTGAAGATCCTTGATTTAGTGAATAACGTGTCTTTAATTAGATTCACACTATTATACATTTTACATCTTTAAATACTAATTACAGCAAATACACAAAAAAATAATTTTGCCATGATGTGAGGTGTCTCTCCACGTGCCTGTGCTCAGATCCACTCCCACCAGCTCTCCAGTCTCTTTGAACTCACTCTGCAGCTTCACTAGAGTCTCTTGAGGGTCGAAGCCTGAATTCTGAGCCAGAACCTTCAAGAAGAAGATAAACGCAAGTAATTCAAAGGCACCTTTACACTAGAAGCTTGTCAATTCTCATTTTTAAAAGTGATTTCTGTTTTCCAGTACCTTAGGGATGATGAGGAGGGCATCAGCAAACGCCTGCACACCCAGCTGGGCTCGGCCCTTTACTTTGGGCTTGTGTTTAACCAACGCATCCGCTAGAGCCACCTCGAACGCACCGCCCCCCGCCACAACCGAACCTGTGAGAAAACCAGCAGAACGCTCGACATTAGCCCAGTGGCATGCAGGGGGGAAATTTGATTAAGATTGAAATATTTTCTTTAAAAGAGTGGCAATGAATGTGTTAAATGTGTATAGACATTTAAAATGTATATGCTTATTTTGCATCAGCTATGAAGGGAAAGGGAACAAATGCATGCTAAAACTAGCCTGTCATGACATTCATTTTTTATTTTAATACGTTCCTTAAGGTTCACTTATAATATTAAAGTTTTTTTTGCATGAAAAAAAACCAAGTGATTATGCAGTGGAAAAGTAATGATTTTCAACCCTTACTCTGAAACTCACTCCATCTGAAACGATCAGTTTTTAAGGGGTGGTTCCTTCAAGGGTTGACCGTAAAAACTGCCAGTGTTATGATTGGCTAACGTTACTGCATAAGTATCAACACCCCCTTGCCTGATGTAGATGGGTGTCAGCCAATAACTAACTGAACGCCGGTGGGCGGATCCGTTAAGCAACTGAACGCCGG